TTGCCTCATTTGTCTCAACTCATGGGTTAAACCTTCAACCAGTCTTTCTAGTCTGTCCAGTCTATCCTCTGATTGATCTCGGCCAATTGGTGGTCTACCTCTCCTCATGATGCTATGAGTATGCCGAACGCAACTTTAAAACAAACTGGACCAAGAATCATGTATGCAAATAACAAATGGTCATGCCGAGATGATGCACACCTTGTCAAATAGCAAGCAATATGATGCAAACCTAACATTTTTCTAAAGGGAAATCCTATGCTTTTTAGGACTCAAGTGTGTGAATAACGTACTATAAGAAACTTGTGCTCTGATACCAATCTGTCACGACCCCATTCCGCCCCTAGTAGAATAGTACCGTGATGGCCAGTAATCCGAGATTACCGAAGGCCAACTTTCAAAATTCACACACAAACAGAGTATACATATGGGGCTTACAAATGCGGAAGCAATAAATTCAAAGCTAAGTAGTCCATAAGAGCAGTGCATAAGTTAAATGGAATGGCATACATCATTACAGAGCTTTAATACAACAAAATGAAGTACAAAAATACATCTTGACCAAAAGGCTTCTCAACCATCAAATACAAGAATACAATGAAATACAACTAAGAAGCATAATCTTCAAGATATTGCAAAAGTGCAAAATTCAAAACAAGTGGCAAGTACATCTAGGCGTCACCGCCGTCCTGCTCGTCACCTACATATATATATAGAGAAGGGTGAGCTTGGATACTCAGTGAATGGTACAAATAATAAAGGGGTTTACATGAATGATTTCCGAAATCTTTATCAAATCAAGGCACGTCACATCTTGTACAAAATCAAAGAGCAAATCAAGTTTATCTAACAAATCTTTCAAGTCTCAACAATCAAAGTCTTTCAAGGCTTTCAAGTTCCAAGGGATGACATTAACAAAGGTTGTGCTACAAATGCTTATAGTCCCCTAGAACGTACGGACTTTCAAGATTGGTGCTACAAATGCTTATAGTCCCCTAGCACGTACAGACTTTCAAGATTGGTGCTACAAATGCTTATAGTCCCCTAGCACGTACGGACTTTCAAGATTGGTGCTATAAATGCTTATAATCCCCTAGCACGTACAGACTTTCAAGATTGGTGCTACAAATGCTTATAGTCCCCTAGCACGTACGGACTTTCAAGATTGGTGCTACAAATGCTTATAGTCCCCTAGCACGTACAGACTTTCAAGATTGGTGCTACAAATGCTTATAGTCCCCTAGCACGTACAGACTTTCAAGATTGGTGCTACAAATGCTTATAGTCCCCTAGCACGTACAGACTTTCAAGATTGGTGCTACAAATGCTTATAGTCCCCTAGCACGTACAGACTTTCAAGATTGGTGCTACAAATGCTTATAGTCCCCTAGCACGTACAGACTTTCAAGATTGGTGCTACAAATGCTTATAGTCCCCTAGCACGTACAGACTTTCAAGATTGGTGCTACAAATGCTTATAGTCCCCTAGCACGTACAGACTTTCAAGATTGGTGCTACAAATGCTTATAGTCCCCTAGCACGTACAGACTTTCAAGATTGGTGCTACAAATGCTTATAGTCCCCTAGCACGTACAGACTTTCAAGATTGGTGCTACAAATGCTTATAGTCCCCTAGCACGTACAGACTTTCAAGATTGGTGCTACAAATGCTTATAGTCCCCTAGCACGTACAGACTTTCAAGATTGGTGCTACAAATGCTTATAGTCCCCTAGCACGTACAGACTTTCAAGATTGGTGCTACAAATGCTTATAGTCCCCTAGCACGTACAGACTTTCAAGATTGGTGCTACAAATGCTTATAGTCCCCTAGCACGTACAGACTTTCAAGATTGGTGCTACAAATGCTTATAGTCCCCTAGCACGTACAGACTTTCAAGATTGGTGCTACAAATGCTTATAGTCCCCTAGCACGTACGGACTTTCAAGATTGGTGCTATAAATGCTTATAATCCCCTAGCATGTACGGACTTTCAAGATTGGTGCTACAAATGCTTATAGTCCCCTAGCACGTACGGACTTTCAAGATTGGTGCTACTCTCTCACTCTAAAACTTCCTCTTCTTCCTAGAGCTTCTCTCTCTACAAGGCAAAGATATAATACAAAATGTATATTTTCTGGGTCTGTCGGCTGGCTTAACCCTCTGCAGGGGTACGTGGCAACGGCTGGTTGGTTCTACTCAAAAAGGTGATTGAGTGAAAAGACAAGACTATGACAAAGTGTAATCAACAAGCTAGGCGGCAAGAGTACTCCGACAAGTAACGACATCGGCTAACAACAAGACTTCGGCAAGCAAGGGGCAAGGACATCGGCTAGAAAGGACAACACTTGGCCTAGCTGTGCCACACCTTGGCCTAGATGTGCCACTCCTCGGTCTAGGTCGTACCAATCCAGGAGTAAGGTCACTTGGGTTCAAGGGTAACATCTCGGCCTAGATAATACACATCTCAGCCTTGGCGATGAACACCTAGACCTAGATAGTGACATCTCGGCCAACATGTCAGAGCGAAGGTGGAGTCAACCAAAGTAAATTCCAAGATGGTCTTAGATGCAAGAGGTTCAAAACTGACCTAGGCTCAGGGTGACCTCGGCTAAACCCGCGCCGAGTAAGGTACAAGCATGCTATAACACTTAAGCGAACAAGGACAAGACTTGCAATGCAAGCTTAACAAGACAGAATCATATGAATGCATATGAGTATGGTTAGGACAGCGTTAGGGTTATTACAGATGCGGATGGATTTTCTCCAATCTGTCAATTCGGCAGACGGATGGTAGATTAGAGGTTCCGTGACTGCAACCGACCCGCGACGACCCCTAGTTAATCCTATTAATCAAACAAAGGCTTAGCATTTAGAATGATCGAGGCAATTTGAAAAATGAAAAAAAAAAATACAATTCTGTGAATACAAAAGCGGATATAAAATCTGACACAATCTTCTTACAATCCACAAAAAGGTTGGATCCGATTCATATGGGAAGACTTTTTTAGAGAAGCGAAGAAAAGAAAACTAAACCAAAAAACCCAAACGAAGGACGAAAGGATGGCCAATAAAAAAGGGAGGAAATTTCATTGTAGTCCCAAATTATTTGTTAAAAATCAATTAGACCCTTGTCTTTTTCATTATATGAATTTTACACTTAAATTATTTAAATTTGAATCAATTAAAACCTTGTGTTAGTTGCCGTCAACAATAAGACCGAATCTGCTGGCTTAAACCCTCCAAAATTTTCTTTAAAGAAAAATGAATAAAATATTCATTCCAAAAGTTTTTACCGCAAACTTTTATAATTAAACCCATCAAGTTTGCATGTTTGAAAAAGATTTCATAATAGTATTTTCAAAATTGTCATAAAAATGTTTCTTTCTAATTGAAAATAAAATTTCACAATAGTATGTTTGAAAAAAAATTCATTCGACTCCTTCACAATATTCATTGCTAACTATAAAAAAAACTATCCATAATTGTAACTTAAAAAATAAAAATCAATAATCAAAATTTCTAATTTTAACACAAATAAAAAATAAATCCCAATTAGTAACCCATTAACAAATATATGAGAGAAGTTAAATTGAGTACATACCTAACCTTTGATATAAATGCACAAAGTGAATGCCTTAGATTTAAACCCATAACCTCAAAGTTAAGTAGATTAAGATTTTAACCAATAATTATTTTCAAAAAAATCAAATTAATTACACCAAAAAAATATTTTAAAAAAAAAAGTGAGGGCTCTTACTCTACTCTTAACCAACATTGATCATGACTTTGTCATATTGACCAATAATATTGGTTTGCCGCCTTCCCAGACCGAGCTAGCTTACATATCCATTGGTTTTCATGTAAATTTATTTTTATTTTAAATTAAGAAAAACTCAATTGATGTGATTATTTCACAAATGTAATGAGGATCTGCCATTACAATCATATAATATATAGAATCACAATCTTGTTACAAAAGCCATTTATTTGTAGGGATAGATATCGGCTCGTTAGCCTGTCTAACCTGTCCAATTTAACCCTATTTTTTTAGAGTTTGGGAATATAATTTTAGTCTATGAAGCTGGGCTGAGTTGATATTTTCCGTCTAATTAATAAATGAGCTGGGTTTGAGAATTGTAATTTTGATCCAACTCGGCTGGCTACAAATTTAATTTAATAATGTAACAAGTTTAATCAAATTGAATTTATTTATTTATTATTCTTTTCAATATCTGTGTAGTAAAAAAAAAAATTAATATGTTTGTGGGTTCGGGTATTGATCGGAGTTGAATTGGTATGAATTTTCAAATCGTTTGATTGTTTAGTTGTTATTATTATAGTTGTGGTGTCGTGGACCATTTTATTTAAATTGGTGAAAATAAATTATGTTACTTTTTGATTTCAACTTCGTATGGCCCGCTTGGAAAAAAAATTTAGTTTTAGTTATGGTAATTCTTGGGTCTTGAGTAACAAATGAGATATAAATTTAAGTTTTTGAACTTATTTAACTAGCCCATACTTAATCATTTCGGTTCATATTTAATTATACGAACGGTGGGGACCACCTTAAGTCTTTTAAAATTTATTTATACTTTAATCTCACTTGAAGATTTATTTTAAATTATTAAACTCCCTTCATTTTGGACCCAATTGATTAAATCATGACTCGTTTGTAACCATATTTATTGTTGCTATTGTTATTATTATTTATTTTATAATCTTGAGAGAGTTACAAATATTTATGGTGTGCACCATTAAACGAAGTATATTTTGTGGTGAGAAAATATTATCTCCTTTTTGACATTAATAATGTTGAAATATACTTTTAATTGATATATAAATATATATCTATAAATAGATATTTGTATTGATTTGAAAAAAAATATATATTATTATTAAATTGAATCAAGGAGGTAGACCCACGTGGCCCACGTGACGTGGGTGTTGCTCTCCCCATTCCCGTATTCCTTCTTTCTTCATCTGTACTTCTTCATTTCTTTTCTTTGCTGCCTCCACTTCTCTCTCGCGACTCTCGGTTCTCGGTTCTCGATTCTCGGTTCTCTCTCTCCGTCTGAATTTTTTTGGGATTACATTTATCATATAAAATCTTTGATCTACCAAAATCTATTAGGTTTTAGACCATAGTTCTTAAGATCAAAGTGAAGAGATTGGCGAGGACAACGTTTTGACCGTTGGAGATCGAAATCCAACAAATTCGAAAATTGGGATTTTTGCTTGTTTCCTCTTCTAGCTTTTGAGGTAGAGATCTTCTAAACATTGTGTATGTGTTTTAGTTTTATTATGTGTTATTTTGATAGTGTGATATTTGAAAAGATTAGAGTTTTTATTAATGGTATATTAAATGCATGAAAAGGGAAAAGTTCTCAACTTTTTTTAAAATCTCTTGTTGGTTGAGTGAGATTTTGTATGACTCATGGATTTTGAGGAATGTGATTTTTTTTTTTTTTTTATGAGAAATTCCCAAATTTTAGTAAAACCCTAGAAATTTAAAATGCTAAGATTAAGATTTTGGCTAAGTTTGTGAAAAGTTTATAAGGGTTAAAAATACATGTTTATTTGAACAAAATGAGAATTTGAAAGTGGATGTTTAAAGGGATGAGATTGATGTTGGGAACATTGAAAACCATTGAGGTTTCTATTGAACTTTTGAGAAAGACGAAAATTATTTATCATGTTGAGGTATCGAGAAATGTTGAGAGAAACTTATGTTATATTTAGTATTTTGAATATTCTTGGTGAATTCTTGAGTTTGAACAAAAAGGGAAAATTTATGAAATTTATGGAAGAATATTATGATTCTTGATTGAGTTGGAAAAGAGGAGATTGAACATGTGATTGTTACTCCTATGTTGAAATGATTGAAATGATTGGAAATATGAGATTATGAGTCATATTTTGTCTCTTGATATATTTTGTATAGAGATAATTGTTTGGGCAATCGTGGAGGGTTGTATTGATTATTGTAAAAATTGCATGTGAAATGGGTAAATTGAAATATTTGTAAATTCATGCATGGCATTGAACATTGCATAATCTTATGATTTAATTCTTGCATTGGATTTGAGAAGTTGATTTTCAAATTGATTCAGTGAGAATATTTGAAATGTGTTGAGTTACGGGGTAAATACGTTTGGTCAATCCGCATAGGGGGTGTAGATTGGTATTGTTTAAGTTGGCCTAAGTGTCCGGGTGAAAGACCGAAAACACGCGCGGAGTAGGTGCCACATGCGTTCCGGTTAGGAGTCAGTAAAGTAGAGATTGGTAGTGCTAGTTATGCCTACTTGCAGACACCAGCCTAGGGATTTCCAATGTCATATTTACCGCCCCTTGTTCCATGAAATGGATGATTGAATTGGTTATGCTTTTAAACAAATGCATGGCATGAGAATTTCGAAATGAGAAAACCTATGATTTTTGGCATTGGCACCTCATGATATTGTTAAACTACGTGCACTTTATTTAGATTATCTCTACTGGGCTTTATGTTCATCCCTTAGTGGAAACCATTTTTCAGGTGATTGTGGTGTGCCTCCGCCAAAGTGAAGGCGTGGAGGATCTTTTGGAGCACAAGGCTCAATTATTTATTTGTTATGTTTTCTTTGCAAGCCAAGGGCTATCTATGTATAGGTTTGAAAACCACTTTGTTGTAACCGGGCAAAGCCTTGGAACTTGTAGCGGTTAAGTCATTAATTTGTATTTTGTTACTTTAACTTGTTATTATCACATGCTATAAAATTCATATCTTAAGGATGATGAATGTATTAATGCAAGTGGTCTAGTGTCTCTCTTTTGTGAAATCTCATGTTGGATATCGTTAATAGAAAAATGGTGATTTAGTAGAATGTTGACTATTGAAATGTCTATATTATTCAATGTTCTTATATGTAATAATGAGAAGTAATGAGATTTAGATTATGCCTATGAGTTAATCTAGATATATTAGATGTCAATATTTTCGAGGGTGTTACAACTTGGTATCAGAGCTAACGGGTTTGAATACTTGGGGCTCGTGGGAAGTGGATTTTTACCACAGTGGGTTCATTTCGCTAGTCAAAAATGTTGCATATCTTATGTGCTATAGGTTAACCGATTTGTATGA